ACAGAGCGCAACTTCTAAAGAAACAAAAGTAACATGCTACTTCCTACAACCTATTCTGAAGGCATCGGGCCTAAAGCTTGAGCTTCCAATCCCTAAAGCTGGAGTGTTTCACAAGCGAGGTTAACATCAAAGTTTTCCACTGAGGAGAAAGCCTCCTTTCTGAGCTCTTTGCTGCACTAGTTCCTTTTTTTTTTTAATTAGTTCTACAGCAGGCAATTTTTTGCTATTGAAGTAGGAAAATGAGTCATACACAGGAAGGGTGGCCAGAGGAGTGGCCTCTCATTAACCCACCAATCCACTCTCTGAAGCCAATTCAACCTATGGCCAAAGCAGCAAGCCAGGGAGTTTGCCATGAACAATGCTCATTAGCTTCCTCTCTGGAGCAGGTGAGAAATTATGACACTCAGGAGGCCGCGAGAGGACAGAGTGTCCCACAATTGCTCATAAGACTGCACTGGTCCTCCACAACGTATTTCACTTCTATTATTGGAAAACGGTAATCTGAAGTAATTTTGAATGGCCAATGTGATGTGATTAATAGACAAGATGCCAGCTCTGTTGTCTGCATCGATCCATTAACTGGTTAAACCTAGCAGAGGGAGCATCAGGTAGGAAGAGAGAAACATAGCAGGAAAAGAGGAGGAGCAAGAACAGAGCAACAAAACCATGCAACTTTTTCAGTAATGCCCTGCCACACACTCAGTCCATGCCCCTGGGAGCTGGAGCAGTGGGTGAATGGAACAGGTGAGGGAGGAGCAGCTGCAGTAGGGGCAGGAGTCACCAGTACCATCCCAAGTGTAGCTCCAGCCACAGCACTAACTGCTGCTCTTCCCAGCCCCCCCCCCCCCGCCACTCCCCACAGAGGCTGGTTACTGTGGAGAACCAGACATTTAGTGTCTGACTAGCTGGGACTAGACCCAGAGTGGAATTGGTGGCAGAGTGGGGCTGGTGATGCCTTCTCCCTGTCCCCCTAGGGGGCTGGCCCAGGCCCATTGTGCCCCCTGCCCAGATGTTCCTCTGCATTCCCCAGGGGACACGTCCCACAGCTGGAGGACAACTGCAATAGAGGTAGGCTACATCTAAACTACATCCCTCTGTCAGCAAAAGGATGTAAATGAAGCACGGATTTAAATATCCCGTGCTTCATTTGCATAATCACACAATGGCGCTCTTTCAAACAAGCACCATTTTGAAAGTAAAACCGCAGTCTAGATGAGGTTCTCTCGTAAATGGGGTGCTTTTTCAAAAGATCCTGTAAACCTCATTCTTTGATGTGTACAGGATCTTTCGAAAAGTCTCCCCATTATCGAAAAAAATGGGTCTAAATTGCGGTTTCAGTTTTGAAATGGCGCTTGTTCAAAACAGCACCATGACAATTATGCAAATGAAGCGCAGGATATTTAAATCCCTGCTTCATTTGCACTTTCGAAGTGCTTCATTTACATCCCTCTGCCGACAGAAGAGCGTAGTTTAGAAGAGCGTAGCCGTAGAGACATCAATGAATTCAGAAAAGTTATCCCATTATAAATAGCGCCTGTCCTTGGACAAACAAAGAGCACCATTTACAGAAACATCAATTCAGGCTTTGGAAAAAGACAGGAGAGGTGGTAAGAATTAAATCATCTAACCTAAGGAAAACTAGTGACGCACTCAATTTTTCATTCTAGCAAATAAAAATGTTAGAATAAAAACATCAGTATAAAAAGCTAGCCAGTCTCTAGTGTCAAAGAAACTCTTCCTATTCTAGAAGATTATTTAAATTGTGGGAGTTATATGCTTAAACTTTTCAACACTGGCCAGTAAGAGATGCAGGTTATTAAACTTCTTTAGAGAGCTCAAAGGAATTGCATATTCTAACAGGCCAGCATTTGTAAAAAGATATCATACACTTCATGTGCACAACATGGAATAACTGAACAGACACCACAATTTTGGGAACAGTTACAAGACAATTTGTCAACTGAAAACAACTTGACACTATCTGTAAACATCTGAGCTTTCTATCAAAAAGTCTAAAAACAAATCACAGAAGTACTGGCTTGCAAAACAGACTCTGAAATTACTCTAGAAAAACTCAACAAATATAGCTTAAATACATAAAATTACCCTAAAAAAATGTAGACACACAAGGAGGATGAGCTAATACCTTTTACTCTCAACTTCTACTGACTGGAGAGACAAGCTTTTGAGCTACTCAAAGCTCTTCTGGCCTGGGAAAGGTACTCCGAGGGTTTGTCTCCACTACACGGAGGATCAACGCTGCAGTGATCTGATTTACTGCATCAGCTTAGACGCAATAAATCAACCTACAAATGCTCTCCCGTCAACTCCAGTACTCCACCAGGACAAGAAGAGCAGCTAGAGTCGATGGGAGAACAGTCCTGGTTGGCCCTAGAACATAAAATATGCCACATTAAGTACATCAATTTCATCTATGCTATTTGTGTGGCTGAAGTAATATAGATTAGATTGACAGTGGGGTTTTAGTGTAGACAAGACCTGAATGCCCCAGCTAAATGCAAAGTGGAACAGATTGTTTACCCCAAATAGTTAGCACATATTCTACATAATCATTCCAGGTCCAAGGCCCTGTTAACACTTGTGCAGTGAAGCAGTCAACTCACAAAATTTATCACTTGGAATCCTTGTAGAAGAGTAGGCCTCTTCAACAAACACCAACTGCTGTTATCCAGAGTGAGTGTGGAAATATTCATCCTGTGCCTATTTACAAAACAAGAATTCAGGGGGTTTTAAAATACTGATTTTCCAAAATACTAGTATTTGCTTGATATGATTTGTTGAGTCCCGAAGCTATCCTTAGTTTTTAAGAGACATTCTTTCTTGCTATAAACAGCACAGCAAACAGCTGCTTAAAATATCAACATCACATGCAAGACCTTAACAGAAACAACACATGGCAAATGAGAGAAGTAAGTTTTACAACAAAATAATCCATTTTTTAAACCCATCTCTTTTGCAACTACTTGACATACTAGGGATGTGGTGGTTTAAACGCTTAAATGGTTAACCAATGAACGTGGACTCATTCGTTAACCTTCACGGTTACACACAAGACACACCTGCTTCCACCCACAGAGCTACTCCCCCCCGCCCGGCGTGTAAACATGTAACCGCTGAAATTTTCAGCAGTTACACATTTACAAAAAAAGCCACTTATTAACATCCCTACTAATTGTTATCCTCAGATAAGACAATGGGAAGAGAATTCCTTTTCTCTCCTGAGCAAGCACATTTACTAACTAATGCCTTACGTGGGAATTCAAAATTAGGCCTTTACAAGTTGGAAAATTCTCGAACATTTTCATTCTTTACACATACACTGTATTATTGTTGGGAAAGAGGAAAGGCACGATGTTACTCTTGTTCAAATTACTTTTTCAGTGATGTTGACTGAATAATAGAATATCAAAACGAGCAAGTAAGATTCTTATCTATATTTTTGATGTACTGGAAAACATTGGGCTCAAATTGAAGCTTCAACTGCTCCCAAGATCCTTTAATTTACTGACTTGACTTACAGTGGTACATATCTATCATCTGTTTCTCCTTCCATGCATCCTCTAATTTACACACATATAAACATTTAAAATGGCGAGGAAAAAAGCTGTTAATATAGATTTAACCTAGTCCAGCAACAGCTCATGCCTTTCTAGAACATGGATTTCAGCAAAACACCAGCTCAGGAAAACCAACAGATACTGCGTTAAGGTAAACACCCCGTGCAACCTTGACTCTATCCTCTATATGCAACTTTTACCTTCAAGGACAGCAATGTTTCTCCTGCAGTAATCCTAGGTACTAATTGTCACTGAAGAGAGAAGATGAATTGATTTTTTGAGACCATAAAGGACAGTGAACGTTTTAATATACAATATGTTGTTCATCCTTCAATTTCAAGGACAGACCATGACACCAATGAGGTCAGTCTGCTTTCTGTGAACATGAGTGGCTGATCAGTTTGCCAGAGAGAGTTCAAAGCTCAATTGGCCTAAACAGAAGATAGGTTATTTGATTAATAGCGGATATACCACTGCTGAGAGATTTAGGCCATGTCAATTCATAGTAAAACTGTAGCAATACAGTTGTGCTGCTGTAAGATCACTCATGCAGTTGTTTTAAAATCAATGGAAGAAAGTTGTCGATATAAAAATGGAAAATCCCACCTAAACAAGAAGTAGTACCTATGCTGGCAGACAAATATCTCCTGCCAGTATTGTGCACACAAGTGCCTATGACTGCAACACATATGTCCCTCTGTGTGCATGTGGTTATGCTGGCAGACAAATATCTCCTGCCAGTGTTGTGCACACAAGTGCCTATGCCTGCAACACATATGTCCCTCTCTGTGCATGTGGTTGTTTTCACACCCCTGAATGACAAGTTTTGCCAACTTAAGTGTCAGTATAGATAAGGGCTCACGCTGCTGGTGCTTCTGCTCTGCCTCAGAAGTTCTCCTCTGCTCATAGATTGAAACTCCAGTAAGGATGAGGTTTCACCAGGTAGAACAATTCTGAGAGAGATCTTCCCAGAAGTCTGAGTCAATGTTGATACACTCCAAGGATAACTTGGGAGTCTTTGAAACATTTCTTTCAGCCTCTTTGAGATTGCTTTCCTCCCCTGAGCTCTCTATAAAAGATCTTTGGCAGTCTTTCACCTGTTTCTTGTGACATAGCCTGCCCATCTTATCTGTGATATCATCAGAGTAGGGATGCTTGGAAAGCCTGCTCATACGAGAAACTAAATATCTTGAACCTTGTCTTGCCATCTTATCTTAATCAGTTTCCTCAGACAACCCACTTGGAAGCAATTCAATTTCAGAGCATGGCGTCCATACACCATCTGGGTTTAACATTCATACAGAGATGGCAACACAATGACTTTGTAGGCCTTCAATTTTGTTTGTTAAATAATGCTTCTACACACTCCCACACATTTGCACAAAACCTGCCCAAGGCCATGCTCACTTTTGCAATTCTGACCTTCGTTTCATCAGTGATGTGAAGGTGATAGTACTTCCAAGGTAGGTGAACCTCTCCACTGCTTGGAGGATTTGGCCATTCACTGTGATGTCAGGTTCTACGCCAGGTTTTCGTAGTGCACACTTCACTTCTGTCTCCTTAATGTTGCGAAACCCAAGTTGTCACAAGCTGAAGAAAAATAGCTTATAGTCTGCTGCATATCAGACTCAGATCTGGCATTCAGGAAACAGTCATCAAACAACACAAGATGAGAAATAGTCACTTCCTGTTCTTTCATTGTTGCCTGCACAATCATAAAAGATTAGGGTTGGAAAAGACCTCCAGAGGGCATTAGTCCAACTCCTTAATGACGATCCCCAAAAAAGATCATTATATTAGCAGGCCAGGGGCAACCCACAGACCTTCTTGAATCCATTGGTGACTGGGAATGGTTCCAATGACTCATTGCTATGCATAATGCAAGCAAGTGAGCATGCCATCATGGAATTCCCAAACCCCTGTGATGAATCTCCGGTCAATGTACTCTGCATGCAAAATCCTGGTAAGTAGTACTCTCCAGATGCACAGGAATTGCCTGTTCTTACAGAACTAGCTCATACACCGCAGTTGTTCTTCTGATGCTTCTAAACTCCAATTGCCTTTTCTGCATCCCCAGTACTCTTGAAAACGGTAGCCTGGACAATGCATCTCCATCCATCAGGATAACCAATTTTACAAACTAAGCTACAAGTCTTAAAAGGATTTACCAGACTATTTCAGGCCTGCATCTCATGACATTCTTGCAGAAGCCGATACCTGACAGTTGAGTAGAAATTATGAAGACCACCCAAAAACTGTGCAATGTTGCACATACCTTGGATGGAAAAAATCCTGATGGACCCCTTAAAGGAGAACATTTTGTTCATGCAACAAGAATGTTTAACTGTCAATCTTTTTGTAATATCATGTATAATAGGCCATCAACTGCATAAATCCACAGCAACTGCATGCATTGTTGATACTGCTGGAAGAAACCAAAGCTACAGAAGCCTCACTAGTACCAATGAAGTCCATTAAATTAAGTTCCAGAAACAAATGCAATTTGCTTTCCTCGTCATCTGTCTCCACTGAGAGGGGATGATTGCAAGGTCTACCTATTTTTTCAGGCTTTTCTTGAACATGGCTTGAAAGGGCGGAAGACTAAAAATATTTTTACAGAAGAGTTGTTGATTAACGTTAGTTCACTTGCTGAATTTCGTGTAATTATTTTACATGTACCCAGCCATCACATCAGTGTTTTTGTAAAATAAAAAAAAATTAAAAAATCAAGATGTATGCATCTCCATTCAGGATTTGAACATATTTGTGTGACCAATGGCAAAGCTGAGGAAAAAATTTCTGGTTCAATACACTGTCCAGCAAACTCCAAGCAGCGCATGAGGCCTTGTGGGGCAAGGGAAAAACCACAAGGATTATATTCTTATTTCTCCCTCTTCTACTTTGTAGCTACTTGAACTCATTGTGCAATTGATTTCAGTGATGATCAGAAAGAAAGGTCAAGATTTAACAACAAGTTTGGTTAAACACGCAAGGGAGCTTTTGGGTGCTTACTACTTTTGGAAAATCAGGCCACATATTTGCGAGCCCAACTTTTAAGACTTAAATCTTTAAAAAATGAGTGCCTACTCTTCATAGCATTTGAAGCCCACATTTCCAAACTTTTCAAAGATTGTAAATAATCATTATAATACCACCTAATTCTTATGCTGTTTACTGATGGAGAGCGCTATAAAGAGTTTTACAAAAGTAGTAAGTATCATTATCTCCATTTTGCACTTAAGACATTTAAAGCATTGGCTTGCAGTCAGTTGTTTTCTAGATATCAGACATTACAATCATTTTGGAATTCATGTGGGAAAAGAAATATGATAATCAAGACAACATGCATGGCTGACAAACCACAAAAAATTCCCAGTTTTCTAAAGGCATGCAATGCAGCACACCTTTTTCGCAACAGTGAGTCATGAGATAATGAACCTTACCACCATTAATTTGTTAAACTAGCAATGCTTCTCTTGGGCACTCGTCCAGTATCATATACATAGGATTTGATTTAAATCAGCCATTGTTAAACATCTATTTCACCTGACACAGAAATCAACAAAATAATATCTCTCTATAATAGTCAGCAAGTACAGCTTCCTCCACAGCCAATACCTGCAGGGATCTGGTGTCACCAGACTGATGGCCACAAAGGGCACACTCTGCAGCCCCACTGTCACCTCTGGCTCACTCATTCACAGCCAGATGTAAAGGAGCCACCCCCAAGCAAAAGTCATCCATCAGTGGAATGGCCTCCTCTATGGTTAGGAGCCCACCCTCCTCCTTAGGATGGACCACAGCCCAGCTGTCAGTGCAAACCTAACACGAACTCCCTTAATGTTCTGCAATGGTTAAAATGAAAAGATTCAAAATAGAAAGTGCTTAAAAACAAAATCAAACACAATTACAGAAACTAATATTCTGGCAAGTCTATGTCTATACCAAGTCCCAAACTAGTGACATTTTCAATCCTTGCCACCATTTTCAGATTCCTTCCAAATATTCAGATAAATAAGAAAGCAATTCATTCAAAATTTTGGACGTATCTATTTCCTGAATTCAGAACTACTATAGAGTTCCAGACTGCCAGCATTTGTGACAGTCTTTATCTAGATAGCTGGTAGGTCACAGGCAACATGAGTTCAAGCTTCTCCAAATGGTCTCAGCAACATTTGTTCAAAACTGCCATCTTTAAATAATTTATGTCTTCAGCGTTTAACTCTGTTAAGCCTTTCAGTTAGCAAGAGTGGTGCTGGTCAGTGTCATGCAGACACTTACGCTTTGGGAAGCAGGCTGAAGCCATCATTATGGTCAGGTCTACACTACAGATCTAAATCACTAACTACATTGCTCAGGAGTGCAAAACATCCATAGCTCTGAGTGACAGAATTAGAGAGACCTAACTCCCACGTAGACAGAGCTGTGTCCATGAGAGCTCTTCTCATACTGATGAGATGATGCTACACTGGTGCAGCTGCGCCAATTAGAGATGTAAGTGACTAGTCAACCACCCGATAAGCAAATGCTTATCGAGTAGGAACTCGATTAGTTGCTCCCCCCACTCTTGCTGCCCCTATCAGTGAGAGGCAGCAGGGAGGGGAAGGAAAGCACGTGCCCGTTCCGGGGGGAGCCAGCTTAAAAATGGTTCCCCACGCACCATCTCCACAGGGGGCAGGGGAGGCAGAGGGCATCCGGGAAACAGCCTGAGCAGGAATTGAAATAGTCCCATGTACAGTCTGACTGCTGATTCTCTCCCTTTGAAATATACAAGAGCTGCATCCAGCTCTTGTACACTTCAAAGGAAGAGGCACGGAAGGGAACCCTCACCAGCCGGGGACCTTTCCCTTTTAAATGTACATAAGCCGCTGTGGTTCTTGTACATTTCAAAGGGAGAGGCACAAAAAGATAAGAGAGCATCCCCCTTATTGACAAATCAAGTAGTCAGTGGAAATTCCATCGACTACTCAATTAGCTAATTAATCAAATTTAACATCCCTAACGCCAATGCAATATTTTACATGCAGATCTCCCCTTTGTTTCATGGAACAGACATCAGTTCAGACCAATGTCAAACCAAAAATATAGTATCTTGTTTTAAATTAAGTGTTTTTTGGTAGAAAAACCAAGCGATTTCCTCCTTGTCTCCATGATTGTTAATGCTGCTCAAAGGTGTTTTATGGACAGCCATGGAAATCAGAAACTATCAAACAAGTGCAAGTGTCCCTCAAAATAGCCAGCTTAAAGCATCTGCTCTGCAGGAGCCCTTTGCAGGGCAGGAATAATAGGCTGAAAATTTCAGGAAATTCCCTTTGGTGCACCCAGCTCTTATTAACTTTAATAGAAACTATATGTTCACCTCAATTATTGATGTAAACTACCACGTTTATGGATTGACAATTTTTATGCCAATTTCTCTATGTGACAAAGAAGTGGACCGCAGTCCTGCCAGCACTCAAGCATGTGCAAAAAGTGTATTCATGTGTGTGTGTGTGTGTGTCTCAATGAGGTCAGTGAAACAATTAAGTAGATACCAGTGAAAATATTAAGTAGTACATAAGAATGGGCAGGAGGGCCTAAAATAAAATAAATCGATGTCTGAAGAGGAGAAAAAAAGTTTAGTGGAAAAAGGTAATACTTCTACATACCACAGATACTAGGCATCACTATAGTATAAATGTAGAAATAATCCAACTGTCATTTTACAATACAGTGATCAAAGAGGAGTCACTAGAAGACTTAGTGGTGAAAAAGTAGCACTGTCATGGACAGGAGTGAACCAACTTTTTTAACATAAATTGCAAAAATGAGTTTAATAGTTTGGCCAATTTTCAGTTTATCAGAATACTGAAAGCTCCTTTCTAGTTGATAAAATGTCACCAATACAATTTTTCCATAATGAGAAACAACACAAGTTTTAAAACAACAGCTCAGGAAAAAAAAGTGTATGTGTGTGTGTGGGGGGGGGGGGGCAGGAGAATGATTTAATGAAATACCATTTTACACAAGAAATATCAGTTTTCCTATCTGTGGGCTCTCAAAATGGCACAGATCTCACTCAATATGGCCCCTGAAGACAAAACATCATTTCTGGGTATTCCCCCCAACCAATACAGAAGGGTAGCTACTCAGAGCTCTGTTTCCTGGCAGGAAATCCTTGCCCCATCTTTTAACTCAGTGAGAAACAAAGACAAAAACACTTTCAAGTTCGGTCGCTCTTTTTAGGCTTCCACTTCCCCGATGCCTGTCAATGTCCAGGCCCGCACAGAAAACGCGGGGCAGCTCACCCTGAATGTCCCCTACAACTTTGAGAGGCGCCCAAACGGGGTGAGCCAGGGCCGGGGGGAGGCAGAGAGAGAGGGGGCCTGTGTGTGTCTATACAGGTCTGAAACAAAGCCTCCGACGTGTGCCACATCTGCTCTGCAAATCCACAGCGTGTGGAGGCGGAACCCCCTCGAGGGCAGGGACCCCAACTTCCCATCTGCTCGGCGAGGCTTGCCCCGCCTCATCAGCAGGAGCGGGGGATAGAGTCTCCCTCAGGCCTCACTCTCCCCCCCGAAGAGGCACCCGCTGCCCCCACCCCAAAGGGGCCCGAGCCCCTGGGACTCCCACCCCCTTCCCGAGGCCACGGAAGCCTCCCCCTTCCGGCGCCCCGCTCCACCGCGCCTCGGAGACGGGGCACTTCGGAAACGGAGCCTGAGGCCTAGCGAGGCAGGGACACAGGCCGGAGCGCCCCGAGCCAGCCCGCGGCCCCGCCGGGCCAGGCCCCCTCCGCCCCATTGTTCCCCGCCGCCGAGCGCGGGGCCCGGACTCACCGCACGGCTGAGCTCCCCGCAGCAGCGACTTTCAGCTCCGGGACGCGGGGCTGGCCGCAGCCTCCAGCGCCGGCA